CCCCCCCCCCAAAACAGTGCTTTTACTTTAAACTTGGCACACCCCTGCACCAAGCCCAGCACATGCCCAGAAGAGGCATCGTGTTATCTGGACCTGGTTCGCCCAATGTCTGTATAGATCTGGCACTTTAGTGGGGCTTTTTGGTGCTTTTATCTAAAGCTGATGAATCAGCTTTAGATAAAAGCACCAAAAAGCACTGCTGAAGCGCCCAACCTATACAGATGTTGCAGAGCTGGGTTGAACAAATGGGCTGCTGCTTCAGGTAAAGAGTGGGGTTTTAAAAATTATTTATTTATTTATTTGTGTACGTCAATGCTTAGAGGTAGTAGCACAGTTAATATTGGTTTTAGGTTTTTCATGCCTCGTGGTGACGCTGAGAGTGTGAAGGACTATGGATTAATTTACTGCAGTAGTGTTTATTGCTTTTGCCTGATTTTATTGTGCTTGGAATTTCACCCAGCTCTGCTCTTCGGGATGCTAAGTGCAAACCTTTTAGATATTGGGGGGGGGGGGGGGGGGAGTGGCATTAGCCATGACATGTAGACAGCTCTGAAACCTCATCTTGCAGAGGAAGTACAGTGGGATTTTTTTTTGCTTCAGAAATGTGCATTACACCATTTTAAGAGTAATCCAGTTTATGTGGAAAGCTGAACACTGCCTGGTTCAGCTTTTATTATATCAATTTTTCATAAAGTAGGCTGCTTAGGAAGAGTGAAAAATTCCACTTTTCCATTAGTATAATAGTCTTGCTGAATACATTCACAGCTGATCTCACTTCAATTCTGGTGTCTCAAAGGAAATGGCTTCTGCAGCCTCTCATGCAGTAAGAGGCTTGTTTATGTTTTAAGGCCTGCATGTTGCAGTTCTATCCAGGTTGCATTGATTGTGGGGGGCTGGGGGGAGGTCAAAAGTAGCCATTTGGGCTCTCAGATTCAGAAAACTTTGTTTCTGTGTCCTCTCCACACTAAGGGGCTCTGCAGCCACTTTGAAGCTTCTAAGCCAATTCCCGTACTTCTGCGGGGAGTCAGTCTGACATCTCTGCTGTGCTGTGCTGTGCTGTGCTGTGCTGTGCTGTGAATTTCTGCTGTGGTCTGTCAAGGGTCTGGTGACACATTTTTTTTAGGAGTCAGTCTCATGACCGATCTCTAGTTGCTTCCTTTATGTGTTATAGGTTGGGTCTAATGATGCAGTTCTCAGTAAATTGTACAGATTCTAGCTTGTAGAAAAGCAGTTGCGGGGAGGAGGGGTGGGGAGAGGCTGATGTTTCTGAGGGCTTAGTTAGAGCAGGGTCTCAGATCTGTATGATTTTTAAAATAATCTATTCACCAATTATATGAGCTATCACAAAGCTGCTCATTGTGCTCCAGAGCCTCTGTTCCACCCTTACTTCTTAATGAATGTTCTGTACTCAGTCTGCCTCTCCCCCAGGCCATGTTTGGTTCCTGCTATTGTTTTCTCTGTCACCTGGTGCCAAACGTAAATGAGAGAGCCTGATGTTCCTAGCACAGGGTACTGCAGTTTTTTTCTGTCCCTGGGTACTGTGGGGTTTGACCAATGCTGGGAAGGACCCTGTTGCAATGAGCAGCTTGGAGAAGTGGGGGACCCTTGCTACACAGAATAGGTTCCTGGAAGCACAAGTCCGGACTCAGAACGGACGAGAAGGGCCAAACTTCAGGGAGTCTGCAGGGCTTGCTCCAGGCCACTGGCTGTGCCAAACTCAGGCAGGGCACGTCCCACTGGGCTTCTGCTCCCAAGATCAACCAAGTCATCCAGCAGTCCTCAAACTCATGGGATGCTCCCTCAACACTTTCCTCCCCATAGCCCTCTACTTGGTCCCAGTGAAGGATGGTGCAGGGGCTGATAGGAAAGTCAGACTGGAAGGAATCTCACAAAATCACCTACCCCCGCTCACTGTCAGGGTAGGATCATCCCTGACAACTGTCCCAGCTGAGTGTCTGTCCAACCTGCTCCAGGGATGGAGATTCCAGAGCTGCTCCAGGCAGCCCGTTCCAGTGCTCGACCACCGTCACAGGGAGGAAGTTTTTCCTAATCTCCAACTAAATTTCCTCTGCTGCAGTACGAAGCCATTATTCCTAGTCCTGTCCCCTACGGCCACAGAGAATAGTCCATCTTTATCCTCTTCATAATTGCCCTTCAGGAATTGGAAGACTGTTATCAAATCCCTGCCTCAGTCTTCTCCTCTCCAGACAAAACAGTCCTAGTTCTTTCAGCCTTTCCTCGTAAGTAGGGACCTACCCAAATGGAGGTGGCAGATGGGCAATTTCATGGGCTGATCATGGTGCTGGCTGCCATTTTTGCAGGCTTATCATGGCACCTCTCCACTGCTGATTGGCCAAAGGGCCCCAGCAGCCCTGCCTCTCATCACTGATTGGTGGAAAGGACTGCCCTTCATGTGGCCTTGTGGTAAAAATACATTATGACCTGGGCCTCACTTGAATAATAGCTGTATGAGTCCCTCATGAGGCCCTCATGATCCCTTGTGTAGGAAGCACAAGGCCTAACGACTGAGTTGTGGGTTTCTTTTTCCTTCCTGCTTGCTCTGCATTTTGTAGCCATACTTGCATAATGCCCTGAAGTTACACTAAGGTATGAGGTTACTAAAAGACACTAACTTTGCCGCAGTTCCCCTTTTCCTCTGCGCATGCGACAGAACTTTTTGCCGCAGTTCTGCTTTTGAAATACGCATGCACTAAACTTAACAGGAGATATTAACCAATAGCAAACTAAGCCTAGCCCATAAGATAAGACATAACAACAAGGAAATTGTGGTACTGCCAATAGTTGTATGACACGTTGTAGCCCTTTGTTTATGTAAGCTATAAAAGTGTAACCCCGAGAGAAATTTGGGGTTGACACTGCTTTGAGCATCAGCTCCTCTGTCGACATTGCTTGCGCAATCAATAAACTCATGACGAACTCACCCTGTGTGTGACTCTCTCCTTGAGGTGAAATTGGTCTAGCCTCCAGGGGCACGAAACTAGCCATTTGGGCAACACT